ACATGTTGAACAGGAGTGGGCTGCGATTTCGCAAGAAGAGTGTTTTCGCCTAGTAGAAAGCCTGCCAAGGAGAATTACCCAATGCATAGAAAGAATTGGACAAAATACTGATTACTGACTATTAACATATATTCTTTGTCCAATTAAATTGATATGAAGGTATGGTATGTGTTGAAATACCGTATTCTTAAACCGAGATATAGGGGGTCAGAAATTAAGTATACACCCTGTAGATGGTAAAAGTAAAGATGCATAGAAATATAAGGCTTTTTTTAGTCAAAAAGCTTTTGCAGATGATATGTATGATTTACCAATAGTTGATTTTGTTCCAATTCATTCAGAGAATAATTCCTACGTAAACTTTAATATTTTATTTGATATTAGTACAGATCAACGTAAAATTTATGAATACTGTATTGGAACATCTAAAGGTTTTATATCTCCAAAATATTCAATGAAAATACCAGGACCTGTTTTCATTGCCAGATGGTTAACTCTAGCTGTAAGAATAATGATGCTTAATGCGAGAGTGAAGAATTCTACAGATGACTTGTGCACAATTATAAATTATATAGTAAAAGTATTTTTTCCCATGTGGTTTGCCCAAAAAAGTCTGGTCTTTATAAAGATGCTTCTAGACTTCTTCATAAGACTATAGAGCTTGTTAAAAATAAGGCAGACAATATACAACAAATTCTTTTCAAAATCTTCAATGACACACTTATTGCTGTGTTCAAGAAAACATTTTAAATTCTATGTTGCAAGATGATTAAAAAGATATAAGGGCTCAAGCAAAACTAATTATGCCTGTTAACTTTAACGCTGATACATGGAGTAGTTTAGTAGGTAACTCTTTAATTGAGGTTGAACCTCCAACTTAAATAAGACAAAATCATCATTTTCCAAAAGAATGGACAATAAGACAAAAACACAATAAAAAATATTATTGCTTGACTCCAATTTATGTTAAAATACAGCCCTATGACAGGCGAACAAAACCTTTGTCTTTCTAATAACAAATCTTGTTTTCAATGGGCTAACAATAGTTTATGTGGAGCCTTGGTGAGCTATTTTATTACGCTTTCATTCACCCAAATATCAAAACACAAACACTTGTTACTTACCGTCATTGTGCATGTTGCTAAACTTTCATTTTTTCGAAGTAGCATTTGAATTAGTTTATTTGAATTAAGCTTTATTTTTTAAATTTATTAGAAATAAATTATTCAAGTGATTAGATCCTATTGCGCAAAAACCTTTTGAGAAATACATGCATCTATATATGCGAAAACAAGAGAGACTGGATCATTATATATTGTCAATGAAAAGTGGGTCTGTGCTTTAACATTATCAATATGTTCACCAAGTATCATGCTTTTACCTTAAATAGCTCAAGATTGCACTAATTGACTGTACAAACAATGCATTGTGGACAAATTCACCATTTTCCTTGTGCTGTGTCAATGGAGCAGCAATAAAGATTTGTTCGTTCGTTTCTAATTTTAATATGACAACTATCAATCTTTTTAGTGATTGTAGTTTTTAGCAGAGAAGTTTATATATGGTATAGTAGGGGAAGACGGGGAACATTTGACTATGGGGAACATTCGACCTTTTCAAATATTTCCCAACATGATAAAAATTACCAATTAAACTTTTTATTAAAAAATATAAGTATTGATCCATCTTTATTAGCATTCGTACTTTTATAGAAGAAAAGGTAATTATTGATGCATAAGGTAATTTTTTTATTTTTTAAATTACCCGCAGAGAATCTCTTTTCTAATTTTAACTTCCTAAACTTTTTTGTTGTTTAATGTTTAATGATATCTTGAGTTAAAAACTTTTTGTGTTTGGTTTACTTTAAAAAATTGATTTCGGCTTTTAACAGCGTTTGTTTATATATAACACGTGTGGGGTACATTCGACCTACCTAGCTGGGGAATATTCGACCGGTGCTTGAAAATACCACAATAATTTATTTCTCTTATCTTTTAGATGCATCGATAAAATGTTACGAAAACATATAGAAAAAAAAGAAATGAAAATGTGGTATTAGATAAAATTATTAGTATTTTAAATAATTCACTGTCTGAACCAGTAAATGTTTGTTAATCTTTCTTAGTTAATATTTGGTTAAATTTTTTATTCTTTGGACCTTGTTTTTCAGGGGCCATTTTTTTCTACCGATTTTTCAGCCATATTTAAAAGAAAATTCAATTGTTTCTCATCGTTTGATGAAAAAACAGCAAGATTTTTCCTTGTACAAATAACGTTTGAAAAATAGATATGAATGCGTGAATCCAATAAAAACTAGCTAAGTGGTCGAATGTTCCCCGTCTTCCTTATACAATTTGTAACACGTACACTGTAATATTTTAGTTAACAAACTTTATTTTAAAATTGTTTACGTAATATTATAGCAATGGGGAAAAAACATGGAGTAAAAGGAAATGAATTTATGATATTGAGCAAACAGAATGAGGAAAGGAGCATCAATAGCAACGACCTAGCTACAGTTTTCTTTTCGTAATATTATTTTGTAAATATATAAGAAATAAAAAAAAAAACGATTCCACATAAACGTGTTGAAAAGGTAAAGACATTATAATACCCTTATATGCAATTAATTAATTGCATATTGACCACGTGGTTAATTTTGTACAAACAAAATTTAGATTCTAAATGTATTTACATTAATTTTAATTATTATAGATTAATATTACACTACTATTATATCTTATTTACAATACATATCATATTATCTGTATTAACAATATGTATTATTATGTGTTAACAATACATTAACAATGTATTAGCAATACATATCATATTATTATGTGTATCAACTATTGCAATATCCAAACCAGTATAGGTTAGAGTCTATTTTTTCGTGGGTCTTGTGTGTATTTTTTTTGTACCATGTATTATAATTTGCACTGCGCATTATCGTGACAACTTTAGAAAGTATAGAGTTTTTAAAATGTACTTTTCTGGAATATTAGTCATGCACATTTAAACATTTGTGTTTTCTGAGACTGCGATTTGTTCTAAGATTTTTTTTTATATATGTATATATATATATATATATATATATATATATATATATATATATATATATATATATTTATATGTATATATATATATATATATATATATATATATATATATATATATATTTTTTTTGAATGTAGACATCATGTATGAGAGTATGTAAATTCTTCAGCTGAAGACGCTGGTCACAACAATCCAGCAAAAATTTCTTTTAAAAAATAAAAAATAAATTTAGTATCGAGAGAAAATCGTATTTATTGATGTTTATAAAATAATAATAATAATATATATATATATATATATATATATATATATATATATATATATATATATATATATATATATATATATATGTATATATGTATGTATATATATATATATATATATATATATATATATATATATATATATATATATATATATATATATATATATATACCGGTATATACATCAATTTAAAACAATCATGACAACCATTTAAAACAACCATGACATTCATTTAAAACACCGCGGCAATCAATTAAAACAATCGTGATTTTCATTTAAAACCTTTAACGCATGCGCAATCTCAACATTCTATATTATTTTTTTAAAAAAGGTCTTCTTTATATATTAATATTATATAAATTTATTTTTATTAAAATTATATTAATTTATTTTAATTTAATGGAATTTATTTTAAATTTGAATGTCACGTTTGACTGTCACGTTTGTTTTAAATAGATGCAAAACCATAATTTTTTACATATTTTTTATACACATACTGTATTGGCAAAACAACCATGATGTTCAATTAAAACATGCATGATGATAATTAAAAAAACCATGATTTCCTATTAAAATATTTAGCGCATGAGGATATTAGATTTTCATTAAAACATGCAGCAAAATTCTGTTTGCCAAATTAAGCGAAAATTTGTTTTGAGATTGGTCGTTGATCGAAGAAAAATTCAATCTGAAAATTCATTGCCACGAAAAACTCAATCTGAATCTTCATGCCGCGAAATTCCGTTTTCCAAAAGATGCGAGATTTTGTTGTAAATCTAGTCGTTGATCAAGGAAAAACTCAATCTGAAGCTTCATCGTTAACTGGAGTTAATCAAAACACAGTACAATTAATTTTAATAGGTACGCGGAAATCGCGATTTACGGAACCGATTTTTATGCTAAAATTTTGGTTCTCGTTTTTTTCACTCTTTTTTATGCAGCGTGAGGCAGACGTAGTTTTAAGTAGTTTCTTTTTAGAAACATATATAGACATAGATACTTTTTGGAAAGAAGAAAAGTAAATCTTGATTTTTGAAATACTTTTATGTATGGTTACTAAACTTTATTATGGAATATTTTGCTCCTGAATATAAGGTTGATGTTCTCTCATGAATTTGTGGTCAAAGAAATGTAGAGTCTGCTTTTTTTATTATTAAAATAGCTTGTTTCATGCATTTTCTATGCACATGCCAAATTTCAACAAAAAATAATGATAAGCAATTAGTCTAATTAGTGTTATACCAAGTATACCACTTTTTTCAGGTAGCCCTAGGCAAACGGTTTTTTGAGGTGGTTATTTTTAGAAACATATATTAACCTTGACGACTTTTGAAAGAAGAAAGATTTGGCTTGATTTATATAAACTATTGTGTATTGCTAACATACCTTTTTATGAAGTATTTTGCTGAGAATTTTGCATGGAAATTTGGCTGATGTTGTAACATAGATTTGTAGTTGAAGAAATGTAGAGTCTGCTTTTTTTATTATTAAAATAGTTTTTTTCATGCATTTTCCATGAACATGCCAAGTTTCAACGAAAAATAATTATAAGCAATTAGTCTAATTAGTGTTGGACTTTAGGTACCTAATTTCGATTTTTTTGTTGTTTTTTTTTTTGGTAAGCAAAATCCGGTAGGCGCCGAAATCCGGATAAGGGGGCGTTTCAACTAAAATTCTTATTTTGAATTATTGTGATATACATTATTAGATTTAAAAAAATATGGCAACATATAGCAAGAGTGTGTTAGATGCCCTAACAGAAAGTAAGTTCAATTTTTTTTTATTCTTAATAATAGTATTAATAACTTTTTAACTCCAAAAAATAACGATTAATGTAAAACCTTCATTGTTTTTTATGTAACATATTAAAAAAGATTAATGTTTAAGATTAAAACTGTTGGTATTCATTGAATAATTCATAGTCACAGTTTTAATTTTTTTAAACAATAAAAATTTTTTTTGTTAGGCTTACACTAATGCAGTATGTAATTTACTCATTTATATGTGATTTATAATAGCCTATTAAAACTGATTGTCACTTGTTAGATTCAGTTGACAATTTATTAAAACATTACATATAAACAATTTTATAACATACTTCATTACGTTAATCTTAACAAAAAGCTTCTTATTGTTTTTAAATTATAACAAAAGATATCATTATTATTGTCTTTTATCATATTTGGATTATATACTTCTTTATCTATGGATTAGTGTTTAAATCATTATACAAGCATGTCTAATATTTATTTCTTGTTTAGATCCTGCCCAGCTTTTTGTTGATTTTTTGAGATTTCGTAAGTATAAATCACATAAAGTTTAAATTTAATATTCACTAAGAGATAAAGTATACAATAAGTAAATATTAATAAACATTTATAATATCTTCCTATCTATAGTAAGTCTTAAAAAAACTAGAGTTAATTTTTTTACTTATTGTATATCATCTTTTTATGTGTTTATTGTTTACATAAGTTTATAACCATTCCTAATGTTAACTTGTTGCTTATAAATATATTATCTTTATATTTTAATAGTTATATTTAGTTGTTTATTTTCATTTTTTTAGTATAGTTGTTGCATCTTAAGTAGAAAATCTTTTAACATTAGTACAGCTTTTAACATTTGTAACTTACTGTTGACAATTTCAAATTATTTTGTGCACAAAGTTTTTGTTATTTTTAGTCGAATCTACACAGCCCATCACTGGTAAGATTTTATCAGTTTGTATATGCTAATGATTATAGAATTAGCTAGTACTTTTTATTCTGTAAATAAATTTGAAAGATTACCGATTTCAAAGTCCTTATTTGCAATATTTGTTTCTTATTACAAATTTTGAATTTAAGTTACATCTTTGTCTTCAACAAATGGTAAATTTAACAATTTTTACTTTTTAATATGTGTATATATTTTTGATGACTGCATTATAAATTTTTTATTAAATAATTCTTAACCTTAGTTCCTTCTACATCTGCTATAAGGGGTATGTTAACTAATTTTTACTTTTCAAAATGTTTATACATATCTTGGCAACTTCAGTAATTATTTTTAATTACAACTTTGATAATATTTAGTTACATCTTCAGCACCTACTATAACTAGTAAGTTTATAAACTATTATTTGCAAATGTTTACTCACCTTTCTTATCAATTGCAAATTTTTATAGAAACTTTTTTTATTTTTAGTTCCATGTGTTCAACCTTCTGCTGGTAAATTTATGATTTAAAAATGTTTTTAAATGATTTTTTAATTTATGTTTATACTTATAAACACTATTTAATGCATTAGTATTGTGTTATCCCTCAAAGTGCAGTAAAATAAAATTATTACTCTCATGAACATTTTTTACGCTATCATTGATTAATACGTTGTTCATGTTATTTATTAAGCCTATCACTTTTACAATAAATTGTTTTATATTACATTTTAAAGCAGTACAAAATTGACTACTGTTACATTTGTAACTACATTAACATTTGTTGACAATTTCAAATTATTTTGTGTACAATTTTTATTTCTATTTTTAGTCGAACCTACAAAGCCTATCACAGGTGAGTTTGTATTAGTTTGTATATGCTAATAATTATAGAATCAGCTAGTACTTTTTGATCTGTGAACAGATTTCAAAGATTACCAGTTTCAAAGTCATTATTTGCAATATTTTTTTTTTATTACAAATTTTGAATTTTAGCTACATTTACGTGTTCAACGAATGGTAAGTTTAACAATTATTACTTCTTAATATGTGTATATATATTCCTGATGAATGCAATAAAATTTTTTTATTAAATCATTTTTAACCTTAGTTCCTTCTACATCTGCTATTTGTGGTATGTTTACAAGTTTCTACTTTTTAATATGTTTATGCATATCTTGGCAATTACAGTATTTATTTTTAATTACAACTTTGATAATCTTTAGTTACATCTTCTGTGGCTTCTATGACTCGTAACTTTAAAAACTATTATTTGCAAACATTTACACACCTTTCTTATCAATTGCAAATTTTTATAGAAACTTTTTTTATCTTTAGTTCCAGGTATTCAACCTTCTGCTGGTAAATTTATGATTTAAAAATGTTTCTTAATGATTATTGAATTTATGTTTATATTTATATACACTATTTAATGCATTAGTATTGTGTTATCCCTCAAAGTGCAGCAGAATGAAATTATTACTCTCATTAATATTGTTTAAGTTATAATTGATTAATACGTTGTTCATATTATTTATTCAGCCTATCACTTTTTCAATTAATTGTTTTATATTAAATTTTACATAATGCCATTCAGTACTAATCTATAAACAAATCATTGTCATTTAGAGCTAATCTATCAAGACTACCTATTATATAGGTCCCAGCATCCTGGACCAACCAGCAATAGTTCATTTAAGCGATGGGTCCAGTTAGGAGGAAGGGACCATAATTCTTTTAAATGGCCCTATCATCCTCCTAACAAGGGGGCTGGGAGCCGCAGCAGAAGGGGAGGTGGTCGAGGTCGTGGAAGTGGAGGAAGCAGAGGGAGAAGATGGAATGGTGGCAGCCTAGTGGTTCATGGAGATTATTACAATTATTAGGCACCACCATTCCTTTTTTATTTTAATATATATTTAATTTCAGCAAGTTTATTTTCCGTTCTTTTCCCAATTTATAAAATTATCAACATTTGCATTATATTTTTTCAAATTTTTACCCAAAAAAATTTAAAAGCAAAACATTGTAATAGTCCCAATGAAATACTTTTTACACTTTTAAAAGTTGTATTATATAAATTTGTAAAGTTTACACTATAGATAGATGTGGACCTTTCAATAGAAATAGGTTTTTTTTTAAAGACTCTGTAGCCCACGTTAAATATAATTTTAAATTTATGTGTAATATTTCAAATGTTGATAAATGTGAAGTGTATTTTGCAAACTTATTTACTATTCTTGTTTTAGTTTATTAAAAATGTTTGTTTGACTATATTATTAGTTATTTGATTTTATGTTATTGTACCTTATGTTTACAGTTCCTTAAAATTATATTTGCATTATTGAGGTTGAAATATCAGTTTCTTGTAATCGTAACTTGTCTAAAGAAGGTATGTATGAGTTTTTTAAATTATTTGATATTTTTTAGGTTTATATAATTTAGTACATTTTTTTACATTATTTATAATATTATTAATTTTTTAAAAGTTGTTATATATTATTTGTTTATTATGTATTTATTTGTTTGTGTAGGTAAAGTTTAATTTGTTATATATTTTATATATATACTCTTTGTATATACTTTGTAGAGACTTTAAGGGTCCAAAAATTATTTTTTCGGATTCAGTAAAAAAAGATTTAGCTATGAACTTCACTTTGCAAGGTGAAGTACATACGCAATGTCAAAACGAGCATATCATCCTCTCATTCACTAATAATGGTGAGTCAATTAGTCGTACTCTTAAACAAGTCAATGAGTTATTTAGCTTAAAAACTAGTGAATGTCGACTTTATAATGCTATTAACATTGCAAAAAAATGGACTACCCATTATGTAAGGGATTGTGCAAAATTTATTAATTTCTGTAATCAGCCCTTTGCATACCATGCAACAAACGTGTCAATGATGCAAGCAATTCATCTTAATCAAAGTAGTTCATTGATTAATGTTTCAGGATCTTCTTTGCTGTCAACAAATGAACATATTGCTGGCTTACCATTAGTTAATGGAGAGCCTTCTTTGCTTGTCAGTTGCTCAGAAAATGAAAAAAGAGAGCATGCATCAAGAGAAGAGGTGACCCCAAAGAAAGCCAAACTCAGATGTAGGTTATCTTATTTATCTTCTAAGTTAGCTAGCTCAAGCAAAGAACACAGGATTAAACTAGATCAAGTTCGATTTAAATATAATAGCTTACCATATAAGTTAAAAATATTCAAGAAAAATATCCAAAGAAAAGAAGATATTATTAAAGCTTTGAGGGCAGAAGATAGAGATCTAAAAAAACAAATTAAAACTTATCTTTACAGTCGGTTAATTCGTAATCTTCAGGCAAAAATAAAGGAGTTAAAAATTAAACAAAAACAAAACTTTATGCAAATAAAAGTTAAAGAATGCTGATGGTAAGGCTAACAAAATGTTTATTGCTCAATTGGAAAATGACATGTTGCAGATAAAAGAGGGGAAAATGCCATATGTTAATATGACAGAAGATAATAAGAGTTACCCTTTAAAAATGAGGATGATAATTTATGGCATGTTATTAGCTAATGTTCCAACAGGTAACATTCGATTCTTAATTTCAAAAATTGGGCAATATTTAGGTGTTAACTTTACAGATATTCCTCATCGTTGTACTATTGAGCAAATGGCTCGTGAGCTTGGCTGTATAGCAGAACTGCAAGCAGCAGAATGGGCTATGAGTAATTCTCATCTTACTCTTGGATTTGATGCAACAACACAAGAAGGTGTTCATATCAACACAGTTCATCTGACTTCTATAAATAACTGTCAGGTCATTGCGCTGGACCAATTACCAGGTGGAACAGCTGTTGATTATGAAAACCATATTTGTGTTGCAGTTGATCATTTAGCTTTTATTTATTCAAATTTTCATTCGTTTCCCTTTAATGAATGTCGTAGTAGAATCATATCAAATATATCCAACACAATGTCTGACAGAGTAGCGGTTAACCATTTAACCATTTCCAAAATTTGTAATACCTGGGGGAAGAATTTGAACGAATTAAATTGTCATTTGGATCTTCTAGAAACAATTGCCATTTCATGTCGCAAAACCTTGAAATCTCTAGAACTTGAACCTTGCAAGTTGTTTGGATATGATTGTGTGACAGTCAAAATTGTGTTAGCAATGAATAAGATGAGGTTTAAAGATGGCAAAGGTGATCCACAAGGTTTTGTAAATTTTTTAGACAATAACCAACTACCGCTAGGTATTATTCTGCGGTATCGTGGAAACCGTCTGCACATTCTTTTCCACACTTGTTTCATTTTTATTAAACACTATACTGCTTTTCTACTTTATCTGACCACTGGAACAATAAAATGTTTCAGCTTGCTACCAATTCTTCTAGAAGCATTTTGTAATAAAACCGCGATAAAACAAATGGGAGAGCTAGCATTATTTAGTAAACTTCTCAGTGGACCATGGATGACTAAGTTTTATGTATCAGCTGATGATTCCAGTTTTGATCATGTCACCGGTATCCAGGTAGTAAAAGATGTTCTAAAAGAAGTTACTAAGTGCAAGCCTGATCCAGCTGCACTATTTTGCAGAGAAATTGATTTTTTTGGAACAACGCTTGCCCCAAATATTTTACAATCTATTACAACTTTATGCCCCATTGATGACGAACTTTTAAAAATGACTTCAGCTTGTCTTAATGCAGTTGATAAAGTATTGAATCGTCAATATAAAAGATATTTCTCTCTTTCTATTACAGCAGCACTCAAAAAGGAGACAGCAAGTGCAAGGCTTCACAATATAGGCAGCGAAGAATTAATGGGTATGTTTAGTAAAGCCAAAGGACGATGCCCTAATGCAACAATTTGTTATATATCTAGCAAATTAAGATCTAAAAAGAATAGGACGATCGATTACCTTGATAATCTGGATGAGTTGTCTAGAGAAAAAGTAGTTAAATGGTCTATTTGCATAGCCCGTAAAAAAAGAATGAAAAAGCGACTACTACATAATGAAATTAGAGCAGAGATTACTGGTAGACTGGGTTGTAAACGCCAAAAAATGGACGAAAAACAAAAAAGAAATTTAGAGCGTGAGCTTTGTATTTTAACTACCAGTGAGGCATAAATATAAACACTTTTCTGCAAAACAACTTGAAGATTTAGATGATGTTATGTCAGAGAGAATTGTTGGCAGAAAACTTGGTCATGAGTGGTATGATGCTGACAATTCAAAATCTGTCATTTATGATGGTAGAGTCAAAAAGGTGAAAAAGAGATTACAAGAAAGAATTTACACTATTTCTTACTGGAAAAAAGATGAGACAGATATGGACGCTGTTGAATATATGATGAAAAAAATACAACTTGCTGCTGATGTTAAAACAGGAGAATTAATATTTTCTTAAATGGAATATAAATATTATTGGTATGCTACTTTATTTTTAATTTTGATAATGTCAAGACAATGTTAAGTATGTAGAATATATTTAAAATATAGTATACATTATTAATATATATATATATATATATATATATATATATATATATATATATATATATATATATATATATATATATATATATATATATATATATATATAATATATATATATATATATATATATATATATATACATATATAGTATATTGTATAGATTATGTATAAAGTATTGAGTATATATTTTTTTAACTTGCAAATATGGTTCAGCAAGTTTTGTAGCTTGCAAAAAGAGTACCGCGAGTTTTTTAACTTGCAAATATGGTACAGCAAGTTTTGTAGCTTGCAAAAAGAGTACCGCGAGTTTTTTAACTTGCAAATATGGTACAGGAAGTTTTGTAGCTTGCAAAAAGAGTACCGCGAGTTTTTTAACTTGCAAATATGGTACAGCAAGTTTTGTAGCTTGCAAAAAGAGTACCGCGAGTTTTTTAACTTGCAAATATGGTACAGCAAGTTTTGTAGCTTGCAAAAGAGTACCGCGAGTTTTTTAACTTGCAAATATGGTACAGCAAGTTTTGTAGCTTGCAAAATATTTTTGGTAGGCGGCTCTGGCTTACCTTCACGTGGTGTCTATTGTTAAAAATGATTTATTTAGTTTCCTTCTTGGAATTTTAAACAATATCATTTACTAAAAGCCAAGACATAAATTTATTATATTTTGTATTTTGAAACTTTTTAAAATATAAGTTTCAAAATTAGTTTCATCTTTGGCCTATTTTTAGGGTGGATACTCCAACTTGCATTTTGTAATGTGGTAAGATTAGAAAAGTTATGTCTCTTTAAATGAACATAATTTAAAAATATTTAAAAAATTTTTATTGACATTTTTTGCAAGTTTGAATGAGAAGGGGAGGGGGCGTTGGATGTAGCACACATTCCTACCTGTACTAACATATTATAATAATCTTGATTACTTGTTTCTCTTTTCCAATAAACTTAATTTAAAACTATTTTTCAAATATCTTTTAAAATTTTTTTTTAGGTTGGATGTGACTGGGCAGAAAGGGGGGCGTTTGGCGTGGCACATGTCCCGTCCCTTATGTCAACTTATACACCACTTGTATATGCTGTAAAGTAAGAAAATTTAATTTAAAATTTTTCATACAAAATATAATCATTGTTTTTTAGGTTCAAATATTTATAACAATGTAGCATTTCACTACGAGGGTGTTAAAACGTAACAAAGACATCAACACTTCAATCTAAAATAGAACACTAATATTTGGAAATGGATTGGAAGCAAATTGGAACAATTTTTTGTGTATAAAGATGACATATTTTATCAGAAAAACACTCTTTCGTGTGAAAAACTTGTCTTTTTTTAAGGGTACGAGGGTGTTCCGGTACCCCCTCCGGTCCTCTAGACGCCCCTTTCATCTATAGAGTTATATGAACTTGTAGCCTACTCTTACATCTATCTTTTGATGCCAAGGTATAGACATTTGGATAAGATTTGACAAAGTTATAACAATTTTAGTGGAAAAAAATAATAATTTTGGAACCAGTTTCTTCAATAAATCCATATATCGAAAATTTGCTACTAAACGATCTTCCTGACAACCTTTCATCTAAAGTAGCTCTTTTTGCTGATGACTCAACTTTATACTCCTGTCTAGACAAAAAGTCTTCTCTTTTCGATGGCCTAGAACAAGCAGCAGCTGATTTTGAATCTGATCTCACTTCGGTGGTAGATTGGGGTTCACAGTGGCTTGTGAGTTTCAACCCTAAAAAAACCCAATTGCTTACTGCAAACAACTACCGTAATATGGTCAACATTCCTATATTAATGAATGGCAATCCTCTTACTGAGTCGTCCTCTTTACGTCTTCTTGGATTATCGCTTACTACTAACCTTTCATGGAAACCATATATACAATCGATTGCTAAATTAGCTTCTGCTAAGGTTGCTTCTCTTTATCGTGCTCGCCATTTCCTTACTTCTGATTCCATTTTCTACCTCTACAAATCTCTTATTCGTCCCTGTATGGAATACTGTTGTCATATTTGGGCTGGTTCTTCTAACGATTCACTTTCTCTTCTTGACAAGGTCCAAAAACGCATTGTAAATGTTGTTGGACCTGGACTATCTGCTAAGCTTGAACCTCTTTCCCATCGTCGTAAAGTTGCATCTCTTTCTCTTTTCTACAGATACTATCATGGTCACTGCTCAAAGGAGTTATCATCTCTAGTTCCATCAACTAAAATTTTGTTTTACTCAATATATTCTTAAAACAAAACACAGTTTTGTTTTAAGAATATATTGATGAAGTTGTACGAGTTTTGGGGACAGAGAAAAAATTCACCCTGGACTAATTTCAAGAATGCGTAAGGCATGCTTATCAATTCCTAATGTTAACTTATCAAACTATTACACACACTGCAAAAACTTTTTTGAAGCGTGTTTTAGGTCAGATGACATACCTCGACAGCAATTGGAAAATAAACATTATTTGTTAAATAAAATAAAATTTTAAATTTCTTTAAAAATTCGATTAAAAAAGAAATTAAACCTTTTTTTATCTACTTTTAATGATCTACTTTAATGATCTACTTTAATGAAAATCTGAATAACCTTAGGAACACCTGGAAAGGAATAAGGAGTATTGTTTCTACTAAATCAAAGAACAACAATAACATAGATAGTTTAAATATCAATAATAAAACTATAACTAACAAGGAAATAATTACAAACACATTTAATGATTACTTCTCATCAATTGCAAATAATCTTGCTAAAGAAATTATACTTCCTAGATTTTACTTCAGCCACTATCTAAAAAACCAAAATCCTGATTCTTTTTTTATATCCCCAGTTACTTCTTAAGAAATAAATGACTATATCTCACTCATGAATCCGAAAAAAAGCACTGGACCCAATAGCATTCCTTCAAAAATAATATCTTAGCATCTCAAGAATTGAGTTTCTCCTTGAGTATTTTAATAAATCAATCTTTCCAATCAGGGATATTTCCTGACTTATTCAAAATTGCAGAAATTTTTAAAAGCGACTGTAAACAAGATCCTTGTAACTATCGGCCTATATCCTTACTCTCAAATGTAGGTAAAATAATTGAAAAGCTTATGTATAACAGGCTACTAAGTTTTTTAAATCTATCAGATAGCTTATATAGTTTGCAATTTGGATTCCGAAAGAAACACTCCACTAACCAAGCCCTCATAGATATAACTGAAACCATACATGAGGCTTTAGATCATAAACAGTTTGCTGGTGGAGTGTTTGTTGATTTGCAAAAAGCATTTGATACTGTCGACCATAAAATCCTATTATCAAAGCTGTATCATTATGGTGTAAGGGGAATTGCTCTGAACTGGTTTAAGTCATATCTAAATCGTCGTCCTCAAAGTGTTACTATTGGTAATATCTCATCCACTACTAAGTTTACGTATATAGGGGTTCCTCAGGGTTCAACTCTGGGTCCCCTTCTTTTCCTTATCTACATAAATGATTTAAATAATTGTATTAAGTACTCGAAAGTGTATCATTTTGCTGATGACACTAACCTTCTAATTGTAGATAAGTCTTTAAAAAAGCTAAATAAGTACCTAAATTATGACTTGGCATCACTGGTCCAATGGTTACGATCAAACAAAATATCTCTGAATGTCAAAAAAACTGAATTAGTTCTATTTAAACCTCGAGGCAAAAAAATTATCGAAAAACTAAATTTTAGAATTAGTGGTCAAAAACTAATTATTGTAGATAAAATAAAATATCTAGGCATATTGTTAAATGAAAATCTCTTGTTCATTCAACAAATTAAATCCATAGCAAAAAAAGTCGAGCAAATG